GTCAGCTCAGTTCATGAATACAGTAAGGTGAGATATATTATTATTGCATTTTACTTTTACTGAATATTTACCTTTAAGATGCAACTATTTTATTTAAAGCAACTATTTGAGTTAGTGCAATTAGAGACCTAAAGTCCAACTGCAGCCATAACTATTTCATGGGTCACAATCATAGTGCATTAATTTAATTATGTATTACTCCTGCTTTTTATTTATAGTGCACCATATTTTACATTGCATCTTACAAAGACAAATTTTAAAAAGCTGAAAAGTAAACCAGGCTGTTTGTTTTTTGTAACAGACTCATAAATCACAATTCAATTAACAATCAGTTTTGACTTATAGTTCCTTGTAGGTTTTCAAAACTAACACAGCAAGAAATAAATAAAGCTACTGAATGGAACTAATGTTGTCTCTACAGTACTCTGGTCTTATGTTTATAAATTAAATAAAAATGAGTGCTAGGTGAAGGTATGGCATTCTCAGTCTCCCTAGATAAACGAGACCAGGAAATCAACTCAACAGGAAGACAAATACAGAATCTGTGCTACATCTCCCCAGCTTTTTATGATGCAATGAATTTGACAATTGGCAGCCATGATAAAAAATGACCAAGAACAAGAAAGCCATCAATTCATACTTTAAATACAACACAAGTAAAACATATTCACAGGTTCCAACAGATACTCAGATCCCTTAAGTCCAGGTACATGGCCACATGACCATAAAAAATGTCAAAAAACTAAGGGACATTGTAATCACTGGGAGCGTTCTCTCTCTTTCTCTCTCTCTCCCTCCCTCTCTCCCTCCCTCCCTCTCTGTCTCTCTCTTTCTCTCTCTCTGTCTCTGTTTCCCTCCCTCCCACATGCTCTCTCTTTCTGGCTGGCTGTCTAGACAGACAGACAGACAGACAGATAGATATCCATCCATCCATCCATCCGAGTTCCAAGTAACAAACCCAACAGAATCAAAACTCCAAGGCAGGCATGTTCCTCAAAGTATAGATTTATTAGGAATGCCATATATATTTGGCACATCTGGGGAAACCTGACTCTAAGCCCCCCTCAGCTTTCCCCCTAATTAAAAGTAGAGTTTTCCTTCCCCTGCCCATGTAGTCCATCACATGGTCCAATCAGGTTACAGTCCAAGGCTCACTCAATCGTAGACCCCACCTTCTTGCACCTGGTGGAAAAACTCTTGTTTCTCAAGCGAAAGAATTTTATTATGGCTACAATCCCCCAGTTATCTCTTCGGGCCCCCTCCTGTTCCCACAGCTCGACTTTCTTTGCTGTGGCAGCCCTGAAGTGCCAAGGAGGAAAATGGCTCTGGGGCTGACTCTATCTATCTATCATCTACCTACCTACCTACCTACCTATCTATCTATCTATTTATTTATTTTTATTTATTTATTTATTTATTTGATTTGCCAATTGTTTACAAGATAATAAGTATAAGTGTATACATAGTTGTGAATACATGAAATGGGTACATATAAGAAAAATAAAAGAATAAGAGAAACAATAGGACAGGGACGGTAGGCACGTTGGTGCACTTATGCACGCCCTCTATCTATCTATCTATCTATCTATCTATCTATCTATCTATCTATCTATCTATCTATCTATCTATCTAATCTATCTCTCTACCTACCTACCTACCTACCTACTACCTATCTATCTATCTAGCTATCTATCTATCTAGCTATCTAATCTATCTCTCTACCTACCTACCTACCTACCTATCTATCTATCTAGCTATCTAATCTATCTCTCTACCTACCTACCTACCTACCTACCTACCTACCTACCTACCTATCTATCTATCTATCTAGCTAACTAGCTATCTTCTACCTATTGGAGTATTTCTTGAGCTTGAACTTCATGAAAAATAATTCTAAAACACTATTCAATACATTCAGTGAATAATTGTTCATATTGGTTGACCTTTATACTAATAATTAATACTTACATTTTATTAAATATTGTTTTGATAATAGCACCCAAATGCTCTTTGCAATGATCATAAGTGCCTCAAATGCTACAGATGTAATTGCTAGTGTCGATAGGGCAGGTGCTACAGCAGAAAAGGTCTATTTCCAGGGTCCTGCAAATCAAACTGTTTAGAAACGGACCCATAGCCCATCTGTTCTGTGAGGATGAGCAGATGTAATTGGGTGGTGGCCAGAGGTGGTATTCAGCAGGTTCTGACCAGTTTTGGAGACCCGGTAGCGGAAATTTTGAGTGGTTCAGAAAACCAGAAAATACCACCTCTGACTGGAGATTTTACGGTATCCTTCCCCTGCCACGCCCACCAAGCCACGCCCACAGAACTGGTATTTAAAAAAATTGAATCCCATCACTGGTGGTGGCTATCCTGAGATAACCTGGCCCCATGACACTTATTCAACATAAGTAGTTCCAAAATGATGAATATATGATGAACTACGCTCCCCATACCTATATCTGCATTTCCAGAGTAAAGGTTTGCAAGATTTTCAAAACAAATTTATTCAGTTAGAGGAAAGCTGGATATAAATTATTCATCTCCAAAAATTATTTTCATTGAACGTGGAGTGTCATGGAAAGGAGGAGGATTAAACGTACCATAGTAAAATGTGATGGAGAATTCAAATAGCAAGCAGAAAATCAACAAGATTGAAAGCAAAACACAAAAACAGATTAAATAATATTTCATCTTTAGCTAGGTGGGCCACAGTGAAGCACCCTTCATATTGCTTTTGATGGTAGGGGGGTCAACTTTTGATCAAGTATTTATGAAAGCTCAGCACTTTTCATAAAAAGAGATTTCAAGCATGAGTCATTTAAAGGAAATCAGAAATTACTTTCTTATAGAATGATCCTTCCCCCCGCTTTTCTCTGAATCCTATTTCAAACACGCTATTTTAATGCCATATATTTCAACACAAAATCTTGTTTTGTTTTCTTTTAATTGAAATTTGAATGTTTGTTAACATATTTCCATTTGTAAGCCTTCATTACTTTGCTGCAGTGCTATATTGGTAAGAACAGAGCTGCTCATTTGAAACGTAAAAAATGAATTTAAAATGAAATATCTTCCTCCTCCTTCCACATCAGCATTTTTGAAGCTGCAGGCAAACACACTGCATCGGCAGTGAATCATACAAAATGACATCTTTAATGAAGGAAAGGATAGCAGAAATAAAAGGTATGACATAACAGTTCCATTCTAAGATCATTAGCACTTTCTGGCTTCTCTCCACCAACACATTAATTTTCAGGCAGGAATGCTCATCATGATATGATTAACATTAACATAAAGACTGAAGAGCGTTGTACTTCATCAATGTTGAAAGTCTGTAGAGTTTCTACAGAAGTTTAGCTGTAGAATGTGGGATGAATATCCTTTGAATGGCATGGGAGTAGGAATGGATTTCCAGAGGGGGAAAAAATTGCAGACTACAAGAACCAGGAGAACTACTCAAGTGACCCTGAGGATATAGATGCTTCAAGTGCTTCAAGGACCCTCTAAAACAGTGGCCCCCAACCTTTTTTGTGCCACGGCCCGATACCGGCATCACAAAATGATCCGCGGCCCGGTACCGGCATCAGCACGCATGACAAGGCAAGGCGAGCCGAACGACCGGCCAGCCAGCCGTCCCCCGCTTCTCCCCGCCACCTTCAACTCCTCCTTTGTACCTTTTTTGTGCTTTTTTGTGCTTTCTTAATCTCCTCCGCCATCGGGACGGCTCTTCGTTCAAAGCCGCCCCCCCCTTTCGATGAAACTAAGGCGCAAGGATTCCTTCAGGACCCAAACGCCGCTTTCCAACCGGAAAAGTTCACCCAGAAGCACTTTCTCGTCGAAACAAGATGGCGGCGCCCAGCAAACCGGCGGCCCAGTGGAAAATGATCCACGGACCGGTACCAGTCCGGGGCCCGGTGGTTGGGGACCTCTGCTTAAAAAATGATGCAAATGACCAGCTCTCTGCAAGGAGTATAAATCCTTCCTTTCCCCACTATCCTGTCAGAACTGAAGAAGCTTCTTGGATAAGAAGCGAAACATCTTCAAAAGGAAAAAAAAAAAGAAACTCCAACTGCCTCCTGAAAAAGCACATTTTGTTCAGCACTGCTGATGACCACATGCAAACACTTAAGCTTTAAACAAAATGAGAGAAAAACCACCTCACAAACTTTAGGGGTAGCACTTAAAAAAAATGCAGGATGACCATTTTCTACCTTGTGACACAAACCAATTTTAATTTTTTTCTTCGTAAATGCTGGCACAAAAACTAAACTATCAGAAAAGGCAAGATATTCTACTCTGCCTTCTGGTGAGTATAGCATACCAATGATTAAAACGCTGGTCTACAACCAATTGGTCAATGTGGTTGCACTGAGAAAATGACCTAACATTTCTCAATTTCATCATTTGACAGAACAAGCCACAAGCCTTATAACAGGCAAAACCTTTGTATCAGAAAACAAACAAAAGAGTTGTCAAATGTAGGTGGCAGCAAGAATTTCAAACCTCCTGTCTGCATTAAAGCACTCAATGAGAAGTTTTAAATAATTTTTTTCACAATATGATCAAATCAACCCCTTGATAACTACAGGTAGTCCTCGACTTACAACTGTTCATTTAATGACCATTCAAACTTACAACCGCACTGAAAAAAGGGACTTATGACTGTTTTTCACACTTACGAACACTGCATCAAAATTGGCTGACTCATATTTTGAAGAATTGCAGTGCTGTGGGAGCATGTGATTTTTTTTGCGACCTTCTGATAAGCAAAGTCAATGGAAAAGCTGGATTCCCTTAACAACTGTATTACTAATTGAATGGCTGCAACGATTCACTTAACAACCATGGAAAGAAAAGTCGTAAAATGGGACAAAACTCACTTAATAAATGTCCCACTTAGCAACAGAAGTTTTACGCTCAATTGTGGCCATACGTTGAGGACTACTTGTAGTTCCATTTGAGATGGATTCTAAGTTAAGTTATATTCCAGTTCTTACCATCTACACATGCTGGTCTTGCCCTTGTAGTACCGGCAATCTGTCCTTTTTTACATGCACAACGAGCTGTTTGTCGGGCTATAGTTCTTCGAGGCTGACTGCTATCTCTGTCCAATGTAACAATTTCACATGTACCTGCAGCCAACTGACCTGGAGGAAAAAAAAAAAACAGCAACAGGTATCATAGTCAATTACTATTGTAATCCAAAAGAGTCATGACCCAGTGTTGCAACAGACACTTCTCAACAAATGGAAATTCAGTTGACAAACATAGATATTGGTATTTGTAATAAAACAAAGACAATGTTTTTTCTCATGTCTCGTCTTGAAGGACAACTGGTTTAAAACATGCTAGTTTTAGAAATTACTTCAAATTAACAGCTACAGTATTATGATATTCACCTAGAATTAGGGAGAAGCAGATTGTGATACTGAACATTCTGAGGTCATCAAAGTTTGACAAGTTTTTCAGCCAAACCTACTCCAAAGGAGGAAAAAAGGAGGAATTTGAGACTTCTTCAGCTTTTGAAGAAATTTGGAATATAAATTAAACCAATAAATAATTTTATCAGTAATAGCTTGAAAGAGGAACTTTCTAAAAAAAAAAAAAAAAAACTAATGGGAGATCAGTTTTTTTATTTTAACTTCCCAAGTATTTAACTTGAAAAGCTGAATGGTCATTTTTCAGAAAATAATGTCAGACAATGTTGGAAATGAGAAAAAAGTGCCTTGGTACAAATAAAGCAATCAGGAACCAATAAAGAAGATGTGATGTTACACAAAATTAGACAATATTAGAAATTCTGCTAAAATATATATACTAATACTGCTATTGAGAGCAATTGAGAATTTACAATTCTTACAATTTTTATAAACCTACAATTTTTCTTTATCCTTTGGTAATAACTGTGGGCTGAGAAAGACTCTAAAAAACCTTACATTAAACCAAGTGTACTTGGCATAATGTAACATTTTTTTAAAAAATATACAAACTTAGTATAGCTGGACTTCATTAAGGCATTTTGACAAAATGGATTAGAGTCTATTCCTTGGTAAGGTAGAAAAATGTGAAATAGGCAGCATCACCACAAAATGGATTAGCAAACTAATCAAGGAGAGAACCTAGTTCAGTGTCAGCGAACCTATGCCATCTGTGCAGGAAGTGACACGCAGAGCCATCTCTCTGGGCACACCAGCTATTGCCCGTTGCTCTTCCGGGTTCCGGCACATGCAACTGTTCTTTGCACACGAAGGAGCACCAGAAACTGGAAGAGCAGCTTCCTGGTATGCATGTGTGCCCTGCCCGGGTGGTCTTTGCCTGCATGGGAGCACTGGAAAATGGAAGAACACCCCCCCCGAGCACATGCGCACACCGGCCAGCTGTGAATGCAGAATTCTGGAATCTGGAACAGCAGCTCCCAGGTGCTCATGCGTGTGCCAGCGAGCTGGTCTTCACGCATGCAGGAACACCGAAAACTGGAAGCTCAGCTTGCACAGGTATAAAATAGGTGGTTCCTGGCTCAACGACGGCAACTGACAGGGATCTAGGAGCCCATAAGTATGAACCGGTAGTGTTGCTGTTGCCAAAAAAAGCCAATGCAGTCCTAGGCTGGATGAACAGAGGGATAGCATGAAAGGTTAATACCATTTTATACTGCACTGGTAAGACAACACTTGAAATAGTTCATCTAGTTTTGGGGACCATGTTACCCCAAAAATGTTGAGACTATAGAAAGAGTGAAGAAGAGAAATAAAGATAGTTAGGGGACTGGAGGCTAAACCATGCAAACTGGGTATGTCTAGTTTATCAAAGAGAAAGACTATATGAACGCAGTTTTACGCTATTTCAGGGGGGTGACACAGAAGTAGGGGATCAAGCTATGTACCTGAGGGCATGACAAGAAATGATGAATGGAAACTTAAGAAACAGAGATCCAACCTACAGCTAAGGAGAAATTTCTTGACAGGGAGAACAATTGATCAATGGAATGGCTTGCCACCCAAAGTTGTGAGTAATCCATATCTGGAGGTTTTAAAGAAGAGGTTGGACAGCCATTTGTTCAGAATGGTATAAGGTCTCCTGCTTGAGTCAGCAGTTGGACGAGAAAATCTCCAAGGTTCCTTCTAACTCTGCTATTCTTTATTTAAAATGCTGGACAGTCATTAGAGAGATGCTGAAGCTAATATATATCCACAGCCACAAAAGCTCTGTGAGTGACTTTGGAACAGTTACTCTCTGCCCTATCAGTCTCATGGAAATGTTATAGGGGAAAAAATAACACAGGTAGCACTGTGGACACTGTTTTGAGCAGAAAGAGACATTAATTCAGTTATGTATTCTTTCACACAAGGGGACAATCGTATTCCTTGTGGGTTGAAAGCCTGGAAGCCAGGGTGATTCTGCAATTATTATTATATAGTTCTGGGCCTATACTTTTGACTCACTAAAACTATTTCTGCTAAATTCCTGTGTGTGTGTGTGTGTGTGTGTGTGTGTGTGTGTGTGTGTGTGTAAGAAAGTATACACGAACAGTTTTCATCTTTAATTCTGCATAGAGCTATACTTCCTCAATCAAAATTGTGCGCAATTTGGTGATTCTTATGAACTCAAGACTCCCAATTAAACAGCCAGTAGCCAGGAAGGACTTTGCTCAAATTCACCTTGTTTATCAATTGCCTCCTTCACTGGGCTGGAGCAGTGGTGGTATTCACATTTTTTTACTACCAGTTCTGTGGGCATGGCTTGGTGGGTGTGGCAGGGGAAGGATACTGTAAAATCTCCATTTCCTCCTCACTCTTGTGGGGAAGGATACAGTAAAATCCCATTCCCTCCCCACCCCACTAACCTGTTTTCCAGCTCCGTTCTCCTGTGCAGGGCAACAAAAGAAAACCAAGCTGAACAGCTGGGATTTGGGAGGCAGAGAATGGATGGGGGTAGGGCCAGTCAGAGGTGGTATTGGTTTTCCAGAATTGGTCAGAACCTGCTGAACACCATTTCTGGGCTGGAGTCTGTAAAAGTGACTCAGGCCCTACTTCCTACTTGAATTACTGTAATATGCAGCACATAAGGCTATCTTCAAAGAGCATTTGGAAACTGGAGTTGGTCCACAATGCATCCGCAAGAACAATTTTAGGGGTTTGTTATTTCATGGAGGCAAACTGACTCTCAGTGGGTTTTTAGGTGTGATTCAAGGAGCTACTTATCATCTATAAAGCATTATACAGCAAGGAACCATACTATTTGTAGGAATGCCAGTATCCCATCATCTCTATTTTTTCTTTCCCTTAGCTAAAAGCAATTAAGTGAAAAGACTTTTTTTTTTAAAAAAAAAGGTTTTTCCTTTATTTGTCAGAACAAATGGGTTATCTTATTTTTATCACTTTCTGACTTACTGTTCTGACACAGGCTTTAGAAACCGTAATTGTTCACAAACTTGTTTTAAAAACAAAACCTATTTTATTGCAACACTGGTAATTGTTTTCATTCCCAGCCAGAATTAAAGTCAAATAGTCCCCCAAGATAAGCACACACCTTTCAGTTCTGTGAAGTGCTGCCGAAAAGTATCAAATTAACTAGAAAAGAAACCAACTGAAGTACAAAGAACTTCCAGGATGACTAGGAACCGATCAAACTACTTTGCTTCCTGCAAAGTTTTCATCATCTTGGCCTGACTTTTATCCCTTATGAGAGGGGCAATCACCTCCCAGCCTTACTCCTGAGTGACTCCTTTTGTTTCAGCTGCTCTCACCTTCTAGTAGCTCTGCGCACATGCGTACTGAGAGCAGGCTCCCCTGGGTCCTCTGCTTTGCTGCTGCCAGACTCCAAAGGCTCCGAAGGCAGCATCCCACTCCCAGATGGTCCTGGCCCCATCTATGCATCAGACGCAGGACCCTCATCCGAGTCCTCTCCAAACTCCCTGACTGGTCCCCTTTTCCCCCCACTGTCCAATTCCGCTGCCGTCTGCACTGGCAAACCACAACACTTACAACCACTTATTTAGCGAATGTTGAAAGTTACAATGCTTATAAAAAATATTATTTATGACCAGTTCTTGCACTTACAACCTTGACTGTATCTCCATAGTTATGTGATCAAAAATTTGGGCACTTGGCAATGGGAAAGTATTTATGATAGTTGCAGCATCCTGGGTTGGCAGATCACCAGTTGTGACCTTCCCAGTCAAGCAAACCAACAAAGTTAAGGGGGAAAAGCTGGATAACATGTGATTCACTTAACAAATATAGTGATCCATTCAATAACTGTGGCAAAATAAATCATAAAATTAGGTGTGACTCACTCCTAAACTGCCTTGTTTAGCAACAGAAACTCTGGTTCCAATTATGGGTGTTAAGTCAAGGACCATCTGTACTAATTTCAATTGCATAAAATATAGTTTGAGACACTTCATTATAAAAAAAATCTCCAATAAAGAATCTCTGTATCAACAATCAATTGTAAGTAAGATATGTAACCAATTAAAATATTAAAATTACTTTAACAATTACTAATAAAGTATAAAATATTTTACGTGACCTTACAAAAAATACATATTTTTTTCTTTTATCTCTTCATGGTATTCTTTCATAAAAGCAAAGATCAATTCAAGATAGATTTTACGTGAAAATTTAAAAAGTTTAAACATGTTTACCAAATTAAACAAACATATACTATGTCCATGGCATTTACAGAAGTCCTAAAAAAAATCCTGAAGCAAATATATATAAACAAATAGACCCAAAATTTAATTTGAATTAATCACTATAATAGTATTTCAGCTAAGTACTGAATATGCTACATTCATACAGTTACGGGTTATGGTTAATTTTTATTAAAGCAATGGATAAGGATTCATTCTCCAGAAAACAAATGTAAAAAATAATATTGGCATAATTTGTGAATGTCAATACAAATAAATACATTTATATTGAATTACTTGATTTTAGCAAACGTCAACCCAGTTTGCTCAACAATAGTCATACTGTGACTATAGTTATACTGTAATCATATGCAAATGATATGCAAATTTTAGAGAAAAGAAATGAAGTCAATTAAAGCTTGAGTACAAAGATTCTTAGCAAAATGCTCAAAAAAGATTGTGAAATTATATATATGTATGTACACATATTATTTGACTATCTTTTTATATAAA